GTTTAGGGGTTTAGGGTTTTTGAAGCCCAGTTTCAAGGCTGTCGGTTGTGTAGCCCCCTTTTTTCACCGCAGTGCTCTGCGAGCGATATTAGGCTCCCTTGTTTGTATTCTCCGACGGATTCTACGACGGCTATCGTAGCGACGAAGCTGTGGACCTTCTAGGGTTTAGGGCTTGAGGCTTTTTAGGCCTAGGGTTTGAGGGTTTAGGGCTCTAGCGTTTAAGGTTTTCGGGTTCAGGGTTTTGGGCTTTTGGAGAAGAGGTTTAGGGGTTCAGGGTTTAGGGCTTAAGTGTTGTGCGTCCTCTCGATGGCTTGTCGATGGTACCCTCAACCTAAGGCTTGGAGCTTCGATAGCAAGATATCCTCGATTCCTGAACCCCAAAGAAAACCACTAATGAAACCATGAAGAATAAGGTTTCGGGGTACATTACGGTGTGTTGATGGTAAGGAACCCTGAGGAACAAGATCACTACTTTTTCAGGCTTCGAGATTCGATCCTAGCTAAGGCCACCGCGTGGGCTCCAAGGCACAATCATCACCCTGAGCCCTAAACCCTAACCCTGAACCCTGAACCCTAAACCCTGAACCTCAAACCCTAAACCCTGAACCAAGGCGCAATCATCCAAGGGCTCAAAAAAGAGGACGTTCACGGAGACGAGGGCCATGGTCATGACAGCGGCCTGTCTTGGGGTTCAGGGTTTAGGGCTTAGGGTTTGGGGTGTAAGGTTGCTGGAAGCTTAGGGGATGCAAAAGTTCAGTGATCCGTATAGGCAGCAAGCAGTCACTGCAGAAGATCCGGTGCTTCAGGAGTTGAGAGAAGTTTGGGGGTTAGGGATTTGGGGCTGCAGACCGTTTTGGGGTGAGTTTAGGGGTTTAGCACTATGGGATGTGGATGTAGCGCGGCAAGGCCCGAATTGTGATATAAAGGAACTGTTCTGCCAAGGCGGAGCGAAAAGCCTCAGAGCCCAAAGTTTTTGGGAAACTTCAAAAATCAACCCTGAACCCTGAACTCCAGTCTCAGAAGCCTGAACTTCACGCCCCACAACCGGAAAGACCTAGGTTTGGAGGGATCCTCATTTTTGACACGCTCTTGAAGTCTTGTGTGCCGGAAAAAGACTCAGGCCCTAATACAGGGACCTTATTAAGGAAAAAAATAGTCACTTGGGATTAAGCTTTGGGATACAACAGGGGGCCGTAATAATTAGCATAGAGTTTTGGGGGTATACTATACTATAGTTATACTAAGGAACCCCCCAAGATAGTATAGGTAAGCTTTAAGGTCCCTATATTGTATGTCTTCTGGATCAGTAGACAGTACCGTTGACCGGAGCCGTCCTGGAGGAAGGAGCCAACCAGATATCCCCACAAGAAACTGGGGAAAAGCCTCGGCTGGGTGCACTTTCGGGTGGACGCCTTTGGGGGTTTAGAGTCCAAGGCGCTTTGGTGTTCCGAGGCTCTGGGTTTTCGGGCTCTTTGTTGTTATTTTGGGGGGGTGGGCTCTTTGGTTTAGGGTTTAGGGCTTGGGCTTCAGGGTCTCCCTACACCCTAAGCTTGAAATCCTAAGCCCTTATAAACCTTAAACCCTAGAATCTGCGTTGTGCCATTCCTGTAGGCCCAAAGACAAGGCACGGTCTAGGCAGTCTCGGACAGTACTCCAAGACCCAGTGAAAGGTTTTAGGATGATCCTGCGAAAAAAGCGAGGAGGTGCGGCAGGAAACTCACTCACGCCCTCCAATCCCTAAACCCCAAACCCTAAACCCTAAACATCAAACCCTGATTAAACCCTAAACCCCGAACCCTAAACCCTAAACCCCAAACCCTAATTCAGCCCTAAACCCCGAACCCTAGGCTCTAAAACCCTAAGCCCTAAACCCCAAACCCTTTCGGAGACGAGAGGCTCTTCCAGCAGGATCGAGATCACGCCGGCGAGCAGCAGAAGCGTCAGGGAGATTTTGGAGACCTTGAAGGTGTAGAGGATTTGGGGGTTTAGGCTTTAGGGCTTTAGGGCTTTAGGTCTTTAGGGCTTTATATGGGTTTAGAGGGCTTTAAGGCTTTAGGGCTTTAAGGCTTTAGGGCTTTGGGGCTTTAGGGCTTTGGGCTTTAGGGCCTTCAGGCTTTAGGGATTTGGGGCTTGAGGTCTTTGGGGGTTTTGGGGCTTGAGGTCTTTAGGGCTGTAGGGCTTTAGAGGGCTTTAGAGCTTTAGAGGTCTTTAGGGCTTTAGGGCTTTAGAGGGCTTTAGGGGGCTTTAGGGCTTTAGGGGGCTTTAGGGCTTTATTAGAGGGTTTTAGGGGGCTTTAAGGGGCTTTAAATGGCTTTAGGGATTTGGGGCTTGAGGTCTTTAGGGCTTTAGAGGGCTTTAAGGCTTTAGGGCTTAGGGTTTTTTCAGACTTTGGAGACCTTGAAGATGCTTCCGGTGCAACAATTCCCCGTCACCAGCGCGCCCAGGCTGTTGCATGCCTGGGCTCTCATCCAAGGAAGCTGAACTAAGTTTTCCTGCTGGGGAAGACATCCGTGCTCAAAATAGTCCCATTATGTTAACAAGCGGAGGGGAATGCTATGCTCAATATATCCTTACTATGCTCTGCCAGGATGTATAAGCTTCTTAACAAGGGCCCAGCTGCCCCGAAGGTCAGCATCACGAATGCCGACATCATCACGGACCCCCCAAGAGTCACCTGCGTGAAGTAGCTCGAGTTGGCATTGAAGGTCAGACAGCCTCCAGCCAGTCCGAAACCCCCAAAATTCCCAACAAGCCTCAGATAGAAATGGCCGGGCTCTGTGATGTTGCCGCCTAAATAGGCTTGAAGGACTTTTCGTTGCGGTTCATTGGCGTTCACAGGGTCCTTCTATGATCTGATGACTCGCAAGCTTAAATCATGATAGATTCTTCAATATGCTTGAAGGTAGAGTGCTTGAAGGTACAGTGCTTAATGACGGGGTACTAAGGTTCTCGGGGGACCCGACGCCCCCAAAACGCTGACTGCAAACCCCGGTTCTCAGCAGGGAATTGGGGAATGTCGTAGAGGGCCTTCTATACGACCTTAAGGGACTATCACAGGGATCTCGTCCCCCAAGTCCCTACCAAGAACCCTTGTGAGAATCAACCCTGGGCCTGCCTCCCATGATGCAGCTCTGGGTGAGCAGCAGGCATAGAAGGTGTGGGTCCAGAATGCGCGACAAGTCCTTCACCCTAAACCCTACACCCTGCAGAACCCTCGAAGCCCTGTACACACTGTACGCCCCAAAAACCCTTTCATCCCTGTAAGCCCTTTAAATCCTCAACCCTGAACCTTATACACCCAGTAAGCCCTACATACCTAACAAACCGAAAAATGCTAAAACTTAAAGCCGCAAACCCTGGGCCCCACCTTAAAAAAGGCTTTTTCTAGGGCCCTAAACCCTAAACCCTAAGCCCTAAGCCCTAAGCCCTAAGCCCTAACCCTCAACCCCTAAACCTAAACCCTGACCCTAAACCCTAAACCCTCAACCCCTAATCCCTAACCCCAGAATGCGCCACAAGTCCTTCAGGTAGCTCGCGCTCTCCCCCTCGCCGCAGCTCTCGACCATGGTCCACCAAGCGTAGGTGGCCAGCAAGCCTGGGCTCTTCCCCAAATGGGGTTAAGGGTTTATAGGGTTTCGGGTTTAGGGTTTAGGGTTAAGGGTTTAGGGATTGGGGTTAAGGTTTTAGGGATTAGGGTTTAGGGATTAGGGTTTAGGGATGAGGGTTTAGGGATTAGGGATTAGGGTTTAGGGTTTAGGGCTTAGGGTTTAGGGTTTAGGCTTTAGGGACTCGGGTTTAGGGTTTAGGGCTTAGGCCCTAAACCCTAAACCCTAAGACCCCATGTTCTGAAGGAACTTCAGGGGGCTCCTTTTAAGGGGTTTCTTAAAAAAGTTCCCTGAAAGGCTTCCTTGAAAGGGTTCCCTAAAGGAGTTGTTGGGTGTTGCTTTAGGGGTTCCTACAAGGAACAGCACACGACTTTAAAAAAAAAGACTAGGGGTTCAAACCCAGACGCCCCAGATGACTGCAAGTATAAAAAAGGATGTTCGCCAGCCCGACAGCTCTGCAAGCAGTCCACCAGCGCAGGGTGCAACAAGCATACCACCGATGGACATCACCTGAGGGTTCATGAGTTCGTGGTTTACACAACGGGCGCTTCCTAATTCTAATCGTGCTTTGGGTGTGGGGGTATGCTATGTTAAGTGGATACACTTAGCAATTGTTGCGACCCGTATGCCCGAAACCAGGGTCCCTGGCAGCGTGTTTGGGGTCTGGGGTTGAGGGTATCGACAACCCCAAAGCCATACTGTAATTCTGAACCCTACAGCATCAAACCCTGCGTTCGACTTGTCAGAGAATCTTCCACTTGTAAGTCTAGCTCACGACACTAAACCTCGCGTGGCCCTGAACTAGAGACAGGCCACTCATTTGCAACTCTCCACATGCCCGTCAGCAAGCCCCCTAGTGAAACGAAGAAGCACGGAATGCCCAGTCAACCCTAAAGCCAAAAGACCTAAACACTGAACTCAGTCTCTAAACCCTAACCTACACAACCCTAAACCCTAAAAACCTAAACCCGAACCAAACCACCCCTGAAACGCCCTAAACTCGCAGCACTCCCTAAAGCCCCAACCCACCTGCAGCACCGAAACGATCCCGAAGCGCTCTCTGGGATCTGCGAAGTAGTCACGGACGATGGCAAAGAGCACAGGTTCCACCTTTCAGGCCGTCAGGGCTTTAGGGTTTTAGGGTTTTAGGGTTTTAGGGTTTAGGGTTTAGGGTTTAGGGCCTGTTTAGGGTTTAGGGGTTTCGGGGTCCAACAAAAAGCATCAATCATATTCAGACCCTTTCTTTGTGTACGCCCCCACCGATTCGCCGATTCCTTGAAGAACCCGAGCAGCAAAGAACCACTCTATGCGCCCGGCGCATGCACAGCAAAAGCCTGGGATTTTTGGTTCCGGACCTTAAAAGTAAGGTACTCTGCTACAGAAAGCATACTACCAGCACTTCCTTCGCATCCGAATCATGAGACTTTCAAGCTCATTTATTTAAAACCCATACAACCCCCCGAAAGCAGCACTATTACGGTAATTGAAAGTAAAGTTCCGGCTTTAGGCCGCCAAACCCTAAACCCTAAACCCTGAAACGCTTTCCTAACGGTAATTGAACATAACTCTCTGGTTCTTACTAGGGAACGGGGGAATGGATCCCTATGATAGTCCCTTAACGGCCCCTGCAGTAGTCCCAATAACCCATTCCCCCATTCCCTACTAAGAACCAGAGAGATAAAGTTCCTTAACAAGGGCTCGGAAGCTTGCCAGACTCAGCAGGACGAGGCAGAAGAGCAGCACGGGTCGGCGCCCAATGCGGTCGGAGAGGCTGGCGGCAAGCAGTCCAAAGAGAGCCTTCACCTGGGTCTGGGTTTTTGTTAAGGAATTTAATCTAAGTTACCATGATAAGGAAAGCATATTATTTCTTAAGTTACCACGATAAGGAAACCCTGCTTTTTGGAGTTCAGGGCGTAGGGTTTAGGTTGTCGTAATAAGGAAACCCTAGTATTTAGAGTTTGGGGCTTAGGGTTGAAGTTGCCACAATAAGGAAAATCCTAGCATTTACTATAGATACCTGTTGTGATAACTTAAATTAAGTCCTCAACAAGAACCCAGTGCTGGTTCCTGCCGGTCCTTTAAAAGCCATACAGTTTGCTCCTTGAGAAGTTTAGGGCTTTGGGTGTCGGCAATGCTTCATATAATATTCGAACCATGCTCCTTCTTAAGAAAACAACTTCATGCCCGAGTCTGCAAATGCAAAATCAATCTCATGAATGACCTAGCCACGATGAAATTCATCTGCACGGTGAGGCTCATAAGGCTTTGAGTGGCAGCCAAGTCGACTTTCATCTGTGGCAGGCTTGGCACGTACTGGTCTGTCGTAAAGTAGGTGAAGGTATAGATGATGCCCAGGAAGACCTGGGCGATGCCGACCACGGACGCGAGCTTACAGCAGCTCACTGCTGACGAATCCTACACCCTAAACCCTAAAAGAACGTCGAGAGAGAAACTCGTCTCGGCCTAGGCACTTTAAAACAGTCCTAAGAAGAATCCTGGCGGTAGCAATAGCAATAACCATTAAAATATGATAATGGCAGTGAAAATCACAAACTCAGGACCAGCAAAGACAGCAAAGAAAACTTGATAACACAAAAAGTAAGTCATCATCCCTAAACCCTAAACCCTAAACCCTAACACAAAAAGTCATCACAATGGTAATCGTTTTCGGCCTGGGCACGATCCAGCTCGCAGGACAGGTTTTCTGCTCGCTCGCATCCTGCGGAGCCCGGCGAGGGAGGCCACAAATCAGCAGGCCAGCGCTCAGCAGTAAAAGGCAGGCGTAGGTCGCACTCACCAAATACCTCAGTCGGGTTAGGCAAGTTCGAAGTTTCTGAGCTACGACGAGAATTACACCACGTTCAAAAAATAGAAACTAATAGCACCATCAATTGGGGGGGGGCTCCGTTTCTTCTTCGGGGTTCCTGTATGAACTTGCTGCTTCAAGCGTGGGCTTTTCAACGAATCTGTGAGCCTTGCCTAAACTTAAGAGCTCCATCGGATCATGTAGGGGCCTTCATAATTAGAATTAGGGTTTGGGCTCCTTTAGAATATACTTTAAGAAGGAGCCCTAAGAATAGTATTGGTACTTAGTTGGTCTTCTATAATAACCAAGCGGTTGCAGTTCAGGGGTTTGGGACTTAGGGTTTGGGGTTTTAGGTTTCGGGCTCAACTTTTGCAGGGATTTCAGTTTCTGGTTCAGAGCCGTAGAGCAAAAACACTACTCAGAGGAGGCTACAGTACCCTTTGTCTGATGCTTGAACGTGCCAAGTTATGAGTTGCGATACTGTCATTAATGCTTTCCAGGGTTGGTTACTGCCGTAGGGACGAGACGATGTCCATCCTTTGACAATGCGCTTGTGAAATTCGCCTCGGCCCCGGCCGAAGCGGTCAGAGGTTCCTATTCGGATTCCCTCTATTCCCCACCTCTTAATCCCCTCCCCACTGACCCCCACCCCTCCAA